CGAAGACAAGTCGACATCAAAATTTATCTATAAAATAAATACAAGAATGACACAAAATTTTGTTAAGGATAAGAACAAGAATGACACAATATTATAAATATAACTTGTGGTTATCTTACCAAAATCCTCTCACGAAGACTAGTCTTGATAGATTTAGGGACCTTCCTCCAATCCATGTAATTGAAGGGATACATCTTACGACATATTATGCCGCATTCATTGTTGAACTTCTCGGCGTTTGTCCCAACAGCTTGCTAAACTCCTCGCAAAAGTCTACAGTCAACCTAACTCCTCCCATTTGCTTTCTAATTTTTTTTTATGATCTCTCCTCTAGTAGGACCACGTTTGTTAATTTTCAAGGACGACGAAGCACCATCTGACTGTGATGTGTTTGCAGAGGCRGTAGCCATAATGCAGTATTTCAAGTGAGCTGGTAAAAGAATTTGAGTYGTAAGCAGAGTAAAAGAGAGCAGCATATAAGTCCTATTAACTACAATATCTGCTTACCWTRCCCTCAGGGGTTGAACTCTAGGACAATATACTTAAATTTGTTACAAATAGCAGTTATGAACAAGCCATGAAGCATTGGTGCTTCCAACAATTCTAATTGGTAGACTGGTGGTGATAGAACTTACATGGAAGGGGGGTCTATTCAGAATCTGGAAAACAAAACTGAGAGCTTAGCCAAGCAGCACTGAAGATCATAATTTTTTGTGAATTATTCTTTGCTTGATCCTGCAAAGGGGAAAATAATGGAGCTCATCTAGAGTTCTTCAGAAGACATATGCAGCTTGTTGAGCACCCAGTAACACCCCCCCACACACACACCTCCAAAAAAATAAAAAATAAAAAGTGATATTAATAGATAGAAGTTTATAGTAGCTGCTTGTAAAAGTGTGATTGAAGTTTTGGCATAACGTTACACCATTTAAGATTTAGTTCATTGTCAAGTTGTTTTCATCATCACAGAAAACCACAACAGCGACAGTAAAACAAAACTTG